GTATGTGAACAGTGAGATGTTTGGGCGCTGAAGTCGCCATAGCCAATTGAGAGTGAACTCGTATCTGAAAGCCATATCTCTGAGTTTTGAGTGGGCGCATGTCGCCAGTATGCTGCGTTGCTGTTTACATGCATGAAAAGTGTGTTTGAAAACGAGTCTGATTGCAAAAGGACGAACGGGGATAGGAGGCACAGCAGGTCGACGCTCACGTCCAACGGGTAGGTGACACAGCAGGTCTTCGCTAGCATTCGGTTTCGTTCACTATGGATTGGCTGCCCACACCTCTGTCGTTCTCTGGAAAAGTCGGTCAGCGCATAAAGGAAGAAGCACACATCGATATTCTGTAATATGTCAGTCAACCTTTGAGACATATGTCCTCCCAGAAATGCTTTGGCAATCTCTTTTGTTGAAATGATTTATGAATTCGTTCTAAACTTACTACTCAGTCAACGACTCGACGAACAAATAAGTGGTGTACCAGCAGTTACACAATGGTTTTTTCACTTTTACTGCTCAGTGAAACGGTATTCACCAGTTCGCAGTAGCTGATGCAGATCCCAGGGCTCGATCCCTAGATCCCCACCTTACCTGTGTACAGTACCTGTGTCAACCCGTAGAGTTGAACCTGCGACCTGTAGGATCGCCAGTGGTAAGTAGGATGTCGTAGGTTAGAGGGTATAGGGGATTCGAACTGTAGACCTGTCAGGTAGGAGTCTAGACAGTCCAGAGGTCGTAGCTGTAGACTTTCCGAAAGGTCAAAGTCGTAGCTGCTACTTACCTGAAAGGGCAGAGTCGTAGCTGCTACAGTACCGAAAGGCCAAGTAGATGGTTCTAGAAGTGGCCTTTCGGTCAGCCCCAGTTTAGGCAGAGGCAAGTGGGCAAGTGTTGGAAGTCCACCACGCAGAGTCAGCAGTCCCAGTCCAGTCAGTCCGGTCCAGTCAAGCAAGTACCGTCTGGGACTGTGTGCACCGTGGGCCAGGGAAACAGGGCAGACCAACGAGTCACAGAAGTATAAATCAAGAGRCCGSGCACAGCCATTCATTCATTCCTGYGGAAGCCATGCGGAAGCGCTGCCTCAGCRTCTTGTGCGAGGAGGTCTGCAGTATGCCCGAAGTCGAACTGGGCCAGAAGAGTGTAGCGTAGCGATAGCGTAGGGGCAGCCATCGCTGCCATAGCTGTAGTCAGTGTGTATGTGTGTGTTGTGTGAGGGTGCAGAGTGAGGCGTGTGGGATATCCAG